AATCTATGAAGCAGTAAGTAAGTTAGGCTTGGCGAAAGTACTTTTGAGAATATTCACCATCAGGCAATAAGAATAATGTAAAGGAGGATAGAGCGAGGAAAGTCACTGCATCTTATCAATATAAAGTAAGGGGAGAAGAGGATTAGACATTAGGGGGTCCAATTGTAGTCATATCAAGCGACTAAAAGGGGGGAGGGAGGAGAAAGGGTAGGGGTCCGAAAGTTAATTCATGCCGTTGCGTCGTCGCTGTAATGGCTAGGCGCTCATATGTGGGAGACTGTCCTAACACAGGCCTGCATGAAAAATATGAATATGCTCTTAATTGTCTAAAAAAAGTTGAAAATCATTTTGTGGCACCCAAGAGTCAGTGCGGTACTTATGATATCAAGCTGGATTCTGCATTTGAAACCAGCTAACATTCTCATTAGACATGCGCGCCAAGACTTTTCCCAGTTCCCTTTCTCAGCAGAAGGCAGGTAAGGAGCTCCAACCTAATCTACAGTTAAGGAAGGCTTCGAGTGTGCAAATCCAACTGTAAACAAACACTTTTTAGGAGTTCGCAGCACATGCTGAGAAGACGCCATCTGTCAGTTCCTTCATGCCAGTCCTATAGAGGCCCTAATGCAGAAAAGGTCATCGGCACTTACTTTATATCCCAGCAGCGGAGCTTCCACACAGCATTTGCGTCTAACGTGAAATATGATTTGTTTCATGTAGCATAAAACACCCTCTGTTAATTAGCCAGATGGGCAGAGAAAGATGTTTAGGTACTCCCGAGATACGCACCCCTTCCACCGGGGTGCATCAGGGTAAAATAATTTAATTTACTGCTCGAGTATGCGCTCCTGGCAAGCTTAAAGGCGTCATGACATGCCAACCGAATCAGAATAATTCCATGTTGAACTCTGTTATAGGGGAGATTATAATTTTTCTACGGAGGTTCCCCGCATCACAGCAGCCCTTCTTAACCGCGACCATCTTGCACGCTTTATTCAAAAGTACAGTAATTCTTTACAGCCACAATTGATGGAACAGTGAGTTTCAGAAAAGCCCGTTATTATATCCTTACTCTTTAAGGGTGATAACATTTAGAATACAGGCAAACGATGGTTAAGTTGCACCACTAAAAGGGCTTACAACGCAGCTGACCTTGTCTTCTTAAGTCCTACTAAAAGCCTTCCAATAAACCGGACAATGAATGTCTTGCCGTAGCACGCCACCTCCAATTGTGTGTATGAATTCACGTGCACATGCGGATGCAAGGAAATTGGGCGTGCGCAAAGGAAGGTGGCAGCCAGGGCCGCGACCCACTTGACTAATTCGTTTCTCAAGCAAGAACATAGAGTACCATGGTCTCTAATTATAAAAAATCTGCTAGATAGTGGTCATACTGTCGATGTCAAAACAGCTTCTTGAACACATCGAACCCTGCGCCTGCATACGATCGGAGAAACTCGACCTATTCAAGCAGCTTGACCACTTGGGCAGTCTCCAATTACCCAGGTAATTTGGTACGTATTTGTTATCCTCGCCGTGATTTAAGTTAACTGACCTTACCCCTTTTCCTTCCTATGTGCTGATTTAATGCAGTGTCCTTCATCTGATCATTATTTACTGTGAACTGTGACCCGTGCTATCATGCATTGGCATTCTGTGAAAATTCGAACTGCTGTACGTTTCTATTCCTTATATACGTGCCTAATTAAAAGCTTCTCCTACTTTGCGTAAAATCTCCACCAAAGTCAGCGGAACGACTTACTACAAAGGGGTCTTTAGATACACCCAAAATGAAAAAAAATACAAAGAGTGGGTTCTATGTTTTAAATGTGTTTTAATGTGCAATAGGTAATACCATACCAGGCAGACGTTTGCAGTCTAGTATTTGCAAGACCCTGCGGAAACCCAACTTCGAATAAGGCGTTTGAATGACTCCCAAACGAAGCATGACACAGGACGCACCCGCAGCACAAATGTATTTACGCCAAGGTCCTGGAAACGTAGACTTGGGGTGGCATTTATATTTATTTTCAAGGTTGACGCTGAAGTTAGTTAGGCTTTACTTGAGGGTTAAGGTTAGGCTTCGTGTAAACTGTAGGGTAACATTTTAGGTCAACAATATAATTATGAGTACGGCTATAGTTTGGGTTTATTTTAGAACTAGTGACGGTGTTAAGACATGGAAATAAATGCCCTTCCTGAATTTTTCCACAGACCCAGCTTTGGTAATTGGGCGGGTCGGTCTTATTGCCGTTTCCTATTTGGGTGTTCATATATGTGATGCCTACCGATTAGTTAAACTAGATGGGGTTTTGCTTTGTCTGTCTGGGCATTTACAGTTTATAAAAGCCCAGTTAATACGCGTAGAATTATAACTGATTCTCGTTTCTTCTACGCTCAGGTCATCAATTTATAGGTACCCACTTAACTTTCGCGGAATAAGCCCTGATCCGACTCAACTGTTAGACGAAATATGGGTTTTTTAATACACAATTACGAAAAATGTCAGAGTTAGGTTTTAAATAAAAATGTTGAAAGGGATATTATTTTGTAAAACGCTGGCACTAACGTACAGTACTGTGACCTGTTAGACTGTTGTTAGTGGAGCTGAATAAACATGTACATAACACAGGTTCCAGTGAGAACAGTTTGTTTATTCATCAGTACCCTTTATTCGACTCTAAATGACTTTAGGCTAGAACATGTTTGTCACTGCATAAATGTACGACTATCCACTAAAGCTGACTGGTAGTCAAACCCCCATGGGCTTTGTCACCAACGGATGAAACAGATCGGAGTAGAATTACATAATAACAGAATGCGTTTTTGTTTACTTTACAAGCCACTTCCTGTAACGGCACAACGCAAACCCAAACCCGAGGCAAGTTCAGTGTACCTGGCAACCTCCTAACTGAAAAGAATAATGGTGCTTATTTCATAGCTTGTTCTACCGTACTTGACCCTTACCTTGCAGGTGACTATGAACTACGAATAGGAGCAAATATGCGTGCCTCAGGTTCTTGTTGTAAAGAAGAGGAAGACGTGACCGTTATTTCCAACGATATCCACCAAGAACTTCAGCAAGCTGAGGGCAGACGCGGTGACCATAGCAGAATTATAGCGACAGTAGGCTCACAGGATTAAGCGAACTCTCTCACCGCTCCCACACCTG